CCTCGAGCAACAACGAGATCGACCGAGTCCTGACAGTCGCTCCCTCTACGAGCTGCCTCACGGCTCGACCGCATTCATGCATCTAGAATCACCAAGTGTTCGGGAGCCTCGACCAAACTACATCTTGAACACTGATTTCCGCCCGACTCGACCAGCGAATCCCGCAACCGCCCGCGCAGGCGGTAATTGGAGCCGGGCCCGACCCGGTGTCCCTGTCCCGACATGACTGACAATTCCTCCATCGGGACGCGGGACGACGGTGCAACCGGAGCTCCCAGTACCACCGACCAGCACTCGGCGCCCCCGGGCCGTGAGCGGCCGAGCTCCAAACGTCGGCAACAAAACCGGATACTACAGCCTCCTCGACGCGCCACACGCCGGCCATCTGCTAGGCTACTAGCCAACGTGGAAACCTTGGTACGGAAGTTGAGCAGGCAGAACCTCCAACAGTTGGATGAGGCCAACCAGGAGCTAGAAAAGTCTTCATCGGCAAGCTCCTCGCGCTCGCCACCGCAGCTCACGAGTCCCTCGGATTCGAAACCAGCCCCGGACCCGGAAGGGACATATTCCCCAGAACGCCCTCTCGCCACTCCTGTCGCAGAGCTGACTGCTCTGCCCGGCTCGGACGACCCTCTGAACCCCGGGTGTCCCATTGAGATCGATCAGGATGAGCTATTGCCGTCACCTTCGGCTCTCCGCAGTCTGGAGGAAGGGGGAGATCCAATGGACATGCAGTACGATCCTCCACCCCGTCTCGATCTGGTCCCCGAAAATATCGAACCCGGTGCCATTCCAGCCGTCACACGTGTGATGGTCTGCGCGCTCGAGGTGGACCCGGCATATACCCCCGGAGGTAGCGACCCTGCCCTGGACGACTCGGCCGACCTACTGGAACACTTCCGGGCGATGCGGCGAACCATGATACCCGGCGGTGCGGTGCGCCGTACCGTCAGCGGGGTCCCGCTACGATACCGGCTGTCGACTGACGTCGCCCTCAGCTGCCAGAACGTGGTGCGGAGTCGGCCGAGGATGAGAAAGAGGCCGAACGACAATTGGCAAAAGAGATCACGGGCAGAGAGCTTAGTTTCAAGCTCTTCGGTGGCCCCATCGGCAGTCTCGTCACCCGCCGTCCAGCCATCCCACCCGCCATGCCCCTTGCCATCCATGCCACCGTTCCTCTGACAAGTCGAGGCATGGGGGAGGGGGGCGCTTTTTCTTTTGTGATTTGACTTATTTGAGCTGGTTTCAGGAGCAACGGAATACATATACCCCAGTTGTTATTTAGCCTTGTTTATTCTTGCGGATCAGCATCAACTAGGAGTTTGGGGACAACGGTTACTTGCTATAGGAAATATCGGATGGCATTGTACTGCGACACACACTATTTGTACGGCATTTAGACCCGGGCAATGGGTTTCATTTTCGGACAGGAGCGGGGACGATGCAGCTAGTGGGCTTGGAGGATGGCAAGACTAAATCTACCATCATGTTTGGCGATATTCGCCACCTTCTATTTCGGGTTCCTTGATTGCTCTGCTCTTGTGATCTCGGACAGGGAGCGTTGGCGGTGGTGGTGTTGTTGTACGATGTGGATTGTGGGAGCAAACTCGGTGAGTCCTCCCCCCCCCCCCTTCCCCTGGTACACCCTCCTAGAGGCTAACACATGACTGTCGGGGGCCCAGGGAGGGCAATGAACACCTTCTTTCATAACTAGCAATGTGTATTCATGGGAAGCAAGGCGCAACTCCCATTGTTCCGTGCCAAGCCGACAGCATCGCAGCATGGCGCCTCCATCCGAGCTCAACATTCCAGCTCTCCCCACGCGCCTTTGTCACCATGGACAGGGCCTACACCCCTTAGCTTCATCTTGCGATAAAGAACGACGACGGTTTCTTTATCGTGGGGGACTCGGGGGAACTACGCCCTCTCATGTTGTCGACTAGGCGGGCCAAAAGAGGAGGATCCATGTGTGTTTGGGTGGTGTTGGTGGTGGAATGGGTTGTTGTGGGAGACGATGGCCCACGCATTCCGGGACCTGCATCGTGTGCATACATATACACATGTGTCTGGCATTCTTCTATCTGCCCCCCCCCCCCCCCCCCCACCTTCTCTTCTGTTGGTCTGAAGCTTCCATGCCATCTGTTGCCGTGGCAGGTTGAGCGGGTTTGTTGACTCCTCCCCTTCGTCCCCTCCCCTTCCCCTATCATGGCGACCTGCAGCAACTTTTTGCCGCACCACACCCAACTCAACAATCAACACAACAACCCTTACCTTTTCTCGAAGCTCCCGAGAGGCGCGCGCACAATAGCCCCAGGAACACAGACAGCAGCGACCCCGAGAGCGCAGCAAGAAGAGCTCTGCCGGAGGACAATGGCCAGTCTCCGCGGCATGCCCTACTCGACGAGCGAGTTCTCCCCACACGAGAACAAAGGGGCCGACCTCTTTTGGATGCCGGAGTCTCCCGGCAAGCCCGCCCCCGCCGACTTCTTTGACGAGTTTGTGGTGCTCGATGGCGGCGATTCGACCACGACCTCGATCACGGACGGGGGCGAGGGAGGGGGTCTGGCGAGAGCCATCACGCCACCCGCCGTCTCGATGCCCGCGGGGCGACACGTCAACATTGTAAGTGCCGTGGCGATGCCCAGCGTGAAGGCTATGGCTCACAGTGGGCGCAGAAGCAGGAGCCGGACCAGAAGCAGTATCGCCAAGGGCGCGGTGGCCACCCCATGGACGCCCATCACATGGACATGATGGACATGGGCGGCCTGCCTCTGCATTATCACGACATGTTGGGCGCGGGCTCCATCTCCGACTCGGAGCTGCTCAAGCTCGAGGGACTGTCGATGCGCTCGCCGCGCGTTCACGTGCCGCCCAGCTCGGTCTCGATGCCGCCGTCGCCGCCGTCCATGTCACGGCCGACCAGTCCGCGCAAGGCCGGCCGGCTAGAGGCGCTCTACACTAGGGCCCGCAACAAGGTGGCCACCTTTCAGGGCAAGGCCAGGGCACAGCAGCCAGAGACGGTGGCGCCATCGCAGATCTCTCGGGCGCAGATGGGACCGGCCAAGTCATCCAGCCGGCCACGGCCGACCGGCAGCAAGGCGCCCATCTCGCCACCCCTGACGGCGTCGATGCCGGAGGGCATGGCCGCTAGCTTGACCAGCACCGACGCAGCCTTCATCAACGGCTTCATCAGCGACCCCTTTGCCGACGCGCACATGCACAACCGGGCCATGCCCAACACGCCCCTCCACACCCCTCTGATGAACGGCAGCTTCGACACCAACGGCGCGGCCTCCATGAACCCCTGGGACATGCCCACCCCCGACATGGCGCACTCGTTCCACGGCGCCGCCCAGCCCAGCTTCTGGTGGGGCGACCCCTTTGCCACGCACCCGAACAGCTCGATGCCGCACCTCGACATGGAGATGAACATTGACGACCCCGAATTCTTCAACACCTCCTCCTCCACCAAACCCTCCTCCCAACTCACCATGGCCCCGCACCAATCCTTCTCCTCCTCCACCTCCAACCTCTCCCTCTCCGGCCTCATGATCCACATGCCCCAGCCCCGCGGCGGCGGCCCTCCCCCCGCCGTTCTCCACCCCGCGCGGTACCACTACCCGCCCCCGCCCCTCCCCCCCTCCGGACCTGCCACCTCCCCGCGCCGCCTGACCAAGGCCCCGCGCGCCCCGTCCTCCGGCGCCCGCCGCCACCACTGCCCCCCTAACCCCTGCCAGCAGCAGCAGCCATCCCCGCGCAAGCCCCGCACCGCCTCCGGCGGCCACCCCTCGGTCCCCTCCTCCCCCACCGCCGCCGGGCCCCCGCCCTCCCGCCTCCACCGCCGCAGCGCCTCGATGCAGATGCTCCGCTCGACGGCGGCGGCGGTCCCGGAGCCGTCGACCCCTTCTTCCTCCTCGGCCATCCGCAAGCGCAAATCCTGGACGGGACGGCGCACTTCGTCTCATCACCACCAACAACACCTGGAAAATACCCTCCTCTCCAGCGGCTCTCCGCGCAAACCACCACCAACGTCGCGACGCACCCCCTCGCTGCCGGCCATGGGAACGAGCTACCACCACCACGGGCACTACAACCTCAACCCCCAACACTCCACCGGCATGCACGATGTAGAGCAGGACGACGACGAAGAAGAAGAAGACGAACAACCAACAGAGGACGGCTTCGTCAACTACACCCCGCAGGACCACCGCGTGCTGATGACGGGCGTCGCGCCCAGCGGGAGCTCAAAGACCAAGGCGAGGCGCGAGAGGGAGGCGCAGGAGCAGAAGAGGAAGCTGGGCGAGGCGGTGAGGAAGGCGGTGGCGGCCGCGGGGGGGATGTGAGGAAGTTGGATGAGGAGGGGGGGTGGGGGGGAGGGCTGGGGATTTTGGGCGAGGGGCAAGCCGGGAGGGGCTGATTAGGGAGGGCAAGGGGGCGGTAATAATGTTGATGTGGTTGATGCTGTTGATGCTATGGTAGGGGAGTGGGCGGCGAAAAGGGGTTCGGTTTGCGTTCAAGGTTCAAGTTGAAGCGCGGGGGGGGGGGGTTGGAGTTGAGGTTGGGGCCGAGGAGTTTTGTCGTTATTTCTCTTCCTCCCTTTTGGGACTCTCTTCTTTTCGGGACTCTCTTCTTTTGAGGTAATGTTCAGAACACGTCAGATCAGTCAGTTTGTTTACAATTTGCTTTCTGTTGAGACTGAGAGTTCAGGGGGTGCGCCGTTCAGGGGGAAGAGCAGCAGCTTCTAGTCGGGGTCGCCGTCCTACCCAGTCCTTCCCGAATCCAAGTCTGTATAGTAAGTACCCAGAGAATAAAAAGATCATGTTTTTGCCCACCTCCCCTTCCATGTCCCCCTCATCCCTTGCATACTCCTGGAATGGCACCGTAACCCACCACTGCAGCAAATGACTCGCCGTTCCACTGGACAGCCCTCCACTGAACAACCCACCTTGCCTATGAACCCCGATACCGCACCAAACCCCCATCAATCCAGTAAAAAAACAGGACCGCTAGCTCAGTGGTAGAGCAACCGGCTGCAGCGTTCCACTCATTCCCCCCTTCTGATCTCGGAAGCGAGGTGGTGGAGCAAGTGGTTCCGGTAGGTCTCGTGTTCAACTCACGAGCGGTCCTTCTTTTTTGTGTCTGTCTGTCTGTCCTTTTTCTCTTGTTTTGCTGCTCTGGGCTCGAGGAGGTGAACACGGGGGGGGGGTTGCATTTTATCACCGGCACCTACTAAATTCCGAGTTCTATTTCGTTGAAGTGGAAATGGGGGAAGGGGGTATATCCCCTCGAGGGAAGTAAATACATAGATATCTTGCAGCAAAGATGTGGCACCCACAACTTCCAGCGGCACGGGTGACGACGACGACGGAGGTTGGGGGAAAGACAGGGAAATGACATCGCTTTACCAAACCAAACATACTTCAGCGCTCACTATGGACAACAGAATGTAGACAAAGTGCACAACCAACAACAACCCCCTACCACAAAAACGGCACTGCATGGGAAAGGGTCCCCATCGAGGAAAGCCAGTGTAATTCCAGACAGAAGTCGCTTCAAATCGCATTGATTACATGTAACACGCGCCAGATTATACATCCCGTTCCTCCCACACAAGGGACTACCTCTTTTTCCCCTTGGCCACCCTCTTGAGCGCCCGCACCTCCTTCTTCATCCGTGGATCCACCATCTTGTACCGGCCCTTGACGCCCCTCGGCCGCCCGTTGATACCGCGGTTCGACCCCGCAGCCTTGACCACCTTTGTCGGCGCGCGCCTCTTCTTGCGGCCCGCCGCGGCAATCATCTTTGAGATGCTGCTCGCCTTGTCCTTCTCCGAGAGGCCCTCGTCGCCCGCCACAATGTCCGCCTTCTTCTTGAGCTTCTCGAGCTTCTGCGCCTGCTTGAACTTTTTGCGCGCGCGCGCCTCGGCCACCTTCTTGATGGGCCGCGCGTTGTACGCCCGCAGCTTCTCTTTGATGGCGTCAGCCGCCGCCTTGGTGATGGGCTTGTGCGGCCGGTCGTGCTTGCCCTCGTCGTCGAGGAACCAGTCGGGCAGCCCGTCGCGGTCCTTGAAGGCCCGCTTGTTGAAGCCGTCGTCGACGAGGTCGTACGACGTGGCTTCGCCCGAGGCGAGCTGGTGCGCGAGCGTCATGGCTTCGGCCGTGATGATGTCGATGTCTGGGAGTGTTAGTGGGGTCTTGGATGGATTGGAGGAGTAAAAGCTTACTCGGTCGCCCGTCCTTGGTCCGCTTCTCGTGATCCTCCCAGTCGTCGTCGACGTTTTTGGTGTTCTTGACCACCTCGAAGCCGCCGTCGTCGGATTCCTCCGCGTCGGCTGGTAGCGGCGCGGCCTTGGCCTTCTTGGTCTTCTTGGACTCCTTGGTTGTTGTCTTGGCTTCCACCACTGTCTCTTTTGCCTCGACCTCCATCTCCTCGTCGCCGTCAGAGTCCAGGATGCCCGGAATGGAGTTGAAGATGTCTTGCTTGAAGAACCCGGCGGCGCGCTTGGAGAGCCCATTCACCTCGGACGGCGTATCGTCCAGGTCCGTGATGAGTGGCTTGGTCCCATCTTCGGCATCGTCTTCGTCGTCGCTGCTCTCCTCCTCAAAGCCTTCGAGTTCCTCGTCATCGTCGCTGTCCTTCTCATCCGCCGATACACCCTCCCACTCGTCGTCGTCGTGCTCTTGCCTCGCCTTCTTGGCGCGGTACTTGGCGTCCGACTCGGCCTTGCGCTCCCTGTACTGATCGTACAGCTGGTCGAGCTCCGTCTCCAGAGCATCCCCGTCCTCGTCGCTCTCATCGTCCGTCTCTCCCGAGGAACCGAGGCCCGAGTCTCGCTCCCGCTCCCGCCTCTCGTTGGCCTCGCTGACGACCACCATCTTGCCCTTGGCTATCCGGTTCATGACCTGCGCCTGGTCGATCGTCTTGAGCTTGAACATGGCTCCCTCGCCGCGGGGCCCGTCCTGCTCCATACCAATGTCCATGGGCGCCGTCATGTTCATCTGCATGCGGATGATGTCCTTGGTCTTCTTTTCGTTGTCGCGCCTCCTCTCGCGCTTCTTCTTGGAGCTCACCTTCTCCTTCATCTTTTGGAGGTCCTCCTGGATCTGCATCTCCTCGTCCATGGGTTCGACCACGGCCACCTCCTCGGACAGGGTCGCCGTGTTCTTTTTGGACGGGAACCCAAAGATTTCCCGCACCTTCATGCGCCATTTGAGCAAGAGCTTGAACTCTTTGCGGCCGAGTACTTTCAAGTCCTTGCAGCAATGGCGGATTTCTGGTGTTGTTTCGGGGAGCTTGTCAAGGGCGGCGAGGGCGACATCTCCATTGGCGGGTTGCTCAAACGTCAGCTTGTTGTACTGGCCGAGGATGGCGATGGGGTCGATGGTGTGGATGAATTCGCTGGCGGGGATCTCCTTGAATTGGATGTCTGTCGACTGTTAGCAACTGCTGGACACTCCAAAAAAGGGGGGTTGCGCATACAGTCTCCCTCCTCGTAACCGTCTCTCTTGCGCTTCTTGATCTCGGGGTTATACACCTTGGCCTCGTTGTTCGGGGTCGGGTCCGCCAGGTCCTCAAAGACGGAGCGGGGGTCAAGGAGACGGGGGTCGATCTTCTTGGGGGCCTTAAACCCGCGGCAGACGACGAAGATTTCGGCCGAGACATTTCTCGACGAGGGTGGCTTGGTGGCCTCGACCTTGGTGAAGAGCTGGTTGAAGACCCAGAGCAGCGGGTTGTAGTCTTTGGATCGGAACACCTTGGTCTATCCGGGCCGTCAGTATACGGTTGTCCATGCCCATCCACCCAAAAGAACATACCACAAAGGTTCCTCCCTCAATCAAAAACTCGGTCGCTAGCTTCAGCGAGTGGAGCACCAGCTCGGCCTGGTTGAACGAATCCTGCACCCAGGCGGTACCGACGTTGGGCGCACCGTCGTGCAGCACGCAGTCGGCCTTCCATGTCTTGAGATGGCCCCGGATGGTGGCGCGGCACTTTTCCGTCGTGATGTCGCTCTGGAAGGTGATGACCTTGGGGATGGGCTTGATGGGCGACAGGTCGACGCCGATGATCAAGCTGTTGGCCGGCATGGTCTCGGCGGCGATTTGGCACCACGACTACACACACACTGTCAGACCACAGACACAACAGCACAGAGCGAAGGACATACACCGGGCGCGGCGCAGAGATCGAGCACGACCTTGCTCTTCTCGAGGAAGCCATATTTCTTGTTGAGCTGGATCAGCTTGAAGGCGGCTCTGGCACGGTACCCCTTTTCCTTGGCGAGCTTGTACCACTTGTCGAGACGGCCCTTGCCGTGCTTCTTTTGGATCGCCATGGAGTCGACTCGGGGGGGGTGTCGACCGTGGAGATGGCGGTGCGAAACGGCAAAAGAGAGGCGTCGTTGCTGCCCACCAATTTTTTTTAGGACGGCTGCTGGGCGATAAGCGATAAGCGACGAAAAAGCCAGAGTGGGGTGCCGAACTGTGAGGTACATTCTCCAGGTACCTGTGGGGCTCGCGTGCGTCGCTGGGTGGTTGGCTGGCGACCAGGATGGTGACCAGACGTGTCGGCCAATGGGAGGGGGCAATCGCGCTCAAAGGGGAATGGCGGGCCCATTAAACTCCACGCCAAAAGGCGCGTCATTGCCACCAGCAGCGCGAGACCGCGTCTTGGGGCAGGCCCTGGCCCTAGCAAGCGAGGCAGGGCCCTGCTGGAGCGCTGGACACCGCCCTGGCCCATGCCTGTCCTCGCTCTCTCAATGTCCCGGCAACGACCGGAGACTCCCCTCGTCTTGTCCAAAGTCCGACACCGACAAAATCCCTCCCCTCGTGAAGAAATATCGTGTCCATTCGCAATCGACCCGAGCCATAGGCAGCGTGCTGGTATTGTATTTTCGACTGCAGTACACCTACCTATTCAGCATTACTGGGTCCGAAGTGGGAGTTCGCTGTGGTGGTTGACGTCGAGGACTAGACATCCTCCCCTTCCCTCTTCCCTCTTCGCCATTCTCCTTGCTATTGTCGATTCCCTCCTATTGTCGTCTCCGGTGTTGCCCCCGGACCGTCAATAGCTAGGCACTCGCCCGCCCGCAACAATGGCCGACAAGCAAACATCCGGCACCAAGAGCTCGGCGACGCTGACAAACAACCTCCTCTCGTCGCCCCCCCGAGCCCCCTCCAGTCGAGGAAAGGAACGCCGAAACCCGTCCATCACCCCCCGCAAGTTCCAAAAGTTCTTCACCCCCCGCTCTCGCGTCTCGTCCAAGCCGAGCGCTGCCCGCCGCGCCCTCCGGGACCTCGCCGATCCCGCCCTTAATCGATGCCAGACTCCGTCGAGCCCGCTCAAGGCCGTGTCCGAGGAGACGGACGAAGACGAACTCCCCTCGTACCGGGGCGCAAAGCGAAGAAAGTTTAACCATAATACGCCGGATCACGCCCCCCACTCACTGCCCTCGCCGTTGAATACATCGCCGGCCATCTTATCAACCCCCGGCGCCCGGCTAGCACTGCGGAGCCCTATTCAGTCTCTGCGTTTGCGCCGAACCGCCCGCGAGATACTAGATGAAACAGACGAGTCGGAAACCGAGGAGGATGGATATGAACTGCCGGCGCGGTCGCCCCAGTACAAGAGGCCGGTGCAGCTGGGTCGTCGTGACTTCGGAGGCCAGCTGCTCGAGAGGATGATGGGCGGCATGTCGCGGACCGTTGACCGGGATCTACCTCATCCGATCGCCGGTGAGCTCTCTCTCCTCTCCCGAACCTGTCTTGACCAGTGCTGACGCTGGTGCTGCAGACTGGCGAAACGAGACGGCACACTTTTACAGCAAACCTGAACATTCCCACTTTTGCACCAGCCACGAGGGCAACCCCCAGACCATCCCATTCTGCGTCACCAGCTGTCATAGTAAATCAACAAACACCCCCAACATAACCCACCAGAGACTGACTTTATGCAGAGAACAGCTTGGTTGCCGTTGGCGACGAAGAGGGGCATATCCGTTTCTTGGACACCACCAAGGACTTTTCCAAAATCCACGTGTCGTTTCCTGCCCACGGCAACGCCGTTATCGACCTCGACTTCTCCACGGACGACTACCTTTTGGCGACAGCCTCGGGCGATCAAACCGGCAA